GGAGCGAATCTTGGGATCACTAGCAAAAGTGTGCACTTTTGGGTCGGTGATGCTCCACATTTGACGCAAATGTACATATCGTCAGGGGAGCTCGTAAGTTGGTTCCGAGCAACTTACGGGTTCCCCTGATGGACTCTCGTAAAACACACACTATTTTCTTTGTATGACCCGTCAGGAGAACTCTCTCCTGAGCGCGGGAATGTTACTCTGAGCAATGGCAGTGGCAACCAAGTTTGATGCTTATTTAACAATTCTTCCGCATTGTCACATTCGTTTTAGTTAAAAGAAATTTTTGTTTTGTTAGCTTATATAAATATTCCAGAAGAGCTGGTTGTTAAGATTTGTTAGAACAGTCAAACAAGGTAAGTGCATCATTCAGTTTGGAAAAACAATTAATAGACCGAAACTTTTTAGAGAAAACGCAAAAATAATCGTCAGCAAAATATCTTGAATCCGCATCAAAACGCTTGCCAAACGGCGGTTACAACACAACATCAACTCGCACTATGTGGACAGACCACTGGATCTCGTCGAAATAAAGATGCTAAAGTTGTAACAAAAATTCATATTGTCTTCTAGGGAAACATTTTGCATACATGGAAAGATTCAAAATTCCTAATCAGGGGAGGCACCTTTAAAATCCTTACTTCAAATAAGTATCTTTATCTGTAAATATTCGCAATCAACTTCTGGACCTGGCATGAAATTCTAAAAATTCAGTCATGTAGTTTTCAGCTATGTTCGACCATGAATTACGCTTTAGAGAATTATGAGTTTGAACTGCCTAGTGCGCCAGCATATTTCAGTTGTGCAAAAGTTTTAGTTCCACAATTCTTTCGAAAATGTCTTCGAGATGAAATAAACAATAAATGCTCATAGTCTTGAGTTTAGAGACAGCGGTTATGGTTTAGAATGTAGTAGGAAGGTAGGAACAAACTGTGGAGGGCAATGATCTACCAAGCTTTACAAAAGTAGCGCTTTGTAGGAGGTACCTTTAGGAGGTATATGACATTAAGAGTCAGATTTGACCAAAATCAACTAATTCCCATTTATTTAGGGATCATCGAGTACTTACGAAGCCACGATAATGGAGGTTTGAGAGAACAAAGAGTATTCACGTTGTGAACTAAGTTCTGTGAATGTCAGGTACTCATACCCGGCTGTTTTAAGTCATTACTCACTAATTTGCAGATTAAATGGGACTTGTGAGAGATCCACATGAGTTGCTTTGGGTAAATGTGGCGTGTCGGTATCAGGTAATCAGCCCAAAACATTCTAAACTCCCCGAAACACACAACTTGATTTTATGGAATTATAATATATGTGCAAAAAATCTATGAAATCAGACGGTGTTTCGTCCTCTGATTTGCCATTCTTAAGTTTTCCAAATTTTAACGCTTCTCGGAAAAAAAACGGTACCATTTCTGGAGTGCCTCAAATCGTAATAGTGTATTTATGGCAGTGGCTCATGCACTAATACAACTAATATAATTATCAAAATACATTATAAATATAAAGCGCTATTAAGTTGCTTTTTCCACTACACAATTCCATTACTAAATTTTATTATTTTTCTTACTGACCTCGGCTGGGGCAACAAGCTCCTCCTCTTCCATCCGTCTTCCTAGTACAAGTGTAATTTCTCGGACAGTGCCTATCTTCATGACATGTAGCAATTTTGTTGATGGAGTATCTGTCGGGATGAGGATCACCACGCAAGCATATGACTGTAGAGAGAGAGTGTTTTTCGTAATTTCATGCGCTCTTGAGCCTCACTCACTTTCACCGTTACAAAACTGTGTACATTCTCCTTTTGTTTGAAAGTTGTTATCGTTTCCGCCGCAGCCAGTGAAGGTAAACGGACGACAAACCTTTGATGGAGCGTCGTAGTAATATCTAAAACAACTTTAGCAGGAAAAAGCAAAATTGAAGTACTGCACTGAAATACCTCGTTTGAGCAGGTACTCCACATGCAGTACCAGCATTAAGTGATGCTTGGCAGATGCGATCTGCAAAAGTGAACATAACTCAAAGCTGCGTACTCCACCTGTCATAATGTGAGCAGTAAACGGACATCAATTAACGAATCAAAAGGAATTTGGAGTTTATGTTAGCATTTTCCGTTCGTGTTTTTTTTGTGATACCTCTCAAATACGATAATTTGAAGTCAAATACGGTGCTGACCATAATTGCGTGCAGTGAAAAAGTTAGGTACTCCCTTCATTCTGAATAAAATGCTCGAAAATTGAGGTCATATGTGATATTTTAAATGGATTATCATAAACTTTAGCAGTTTCTGAATACAAAGATAATATCAAAATTACAAAAAAAGCACAAGAAAAAGCTGATTGAAATAATAAAAGTTCCTTTGTTTCCCCTATTCAACACTTCCTCTGGCTTCCGACATTTCGTAAAAGTACAACCCCAAACCTTGAAGCATCTATGCTAAATCTGGGCTATTATAAAAACGCGTTTAGCTCTCTAACGTAAAAGTGGATTCTTACATCTCCGCAAAAATTTCCCCGACAGAGTTCTCCCAGTTATAATGATGCGAATGCCAGGGCTTCTGAAGCTGTTGGCAGTCCAGTGGATGCCACCGCCTGGAAAGACTGACACATGATCTAAGCCGTTCCCAATTTGGCCACTGCCTCAGTACGGATCAAGAGCACTCCCACGTCCCCACCTCTATCCGCCTCCCTTCCCCATCCCCTCCTCCCCATGTTTGATTCGTGGCATTCTCAAATGCATTGGAGAAAACGTGTTGGGGAAGCTACATGTGCACAAAGCCCAGCGTTTTTCGCACGCAGATGTAGCTTGTTTTTAATCAAGGGAAAATTTTGCATCACCTATTCTGGAGTAAGGTACAGAGATTGCCTTTCCTTTTTACCACAATTTTCCTGTCACTTGAAATTGCCTTTCTTACATTTGTTAGAACCATTTAAACAGTAATTAATAAGAATTAGTGTTAGAGGCATATCTACACCTCTCCACTCTGTACGTTGCGAATGTTTGCCCCGCACAAAACCGCACAGCACCGCGAGCCATGGACTTCGGATACATTCTCGCTTT